TCGCCCCAAGCTCTTAAGAGTTACTGAGTAATTTCTTTCCATAATTCTTTGGCTTGGTTACCATTTTGTAGGTGATATAAATATGCAAATAACAAAATACATAAACAAATTTCCTGGGACATTTCATAAACACAAACCAATTATTAGTCCAGAATTACAACAAAAGGATCAATTATGGCAAAGCTATCGCAGAAAGCTGGTAAAGATGCTAAGAATTTCCTAATTTGATGGAAAAATAAGAAAGTCTGAGTCATTTTGTTTTATAGTTAATTTTAGAATTCTTTATTGTTATCACCTCTTATTTAATTCTAAATTTGTGCTACATAACAACACTACAGGCGCTTATTTAAGGTAGCAAGAGAAATACAAAAACATATTTAAGAAATATCTGAATAAAAAAGAAGATACTAAGAAACTGTTAAGTTTTGAGGATCTTGGACAGTTTATAGTACCTTTTTGTGTTTATCTCCTTTCTGAACTAGAACTTCCTGGGAGAATTTGATACTGATTTAATATAAATATTGTTAGGTATGTCTTTTTCTCTCTCTAAGAATTTTTCAAGATATAAAATATTAAGAAAGAATTGGCTATTAAAATTTGGACCACAGGTCAAGAGTTTATGTCTTTTTTTCCTTACTTCTTCTTTTACTCTTTTGCTTTCTCAAAATTTCATGTTTAGTTATCTTTTTTTCTTTCCTTTTCTTCATGTACAGGGTTTCTATTTCTTCAACTAATTTCGATTCTGTGGAAATGATAATTACAAACAATACTTCCTTCCTTAGAGAATCTGCAGCCCCCCAAAAGTAAAATGGTAGTTACAGAAAAGTTTATCTCCTGTATGCTAATAACAAAGTGATGATCATTAGATTTTGATGTAGCATAGATAAAAGTGTTATTTTTTGAAAAGTTATGAGTTCTTCCTTTTTTATTTTTTATAATAAATCTTTATACATCTTTTTTCCCTGTTTATTCACAAAAGAAAGGTGGTGGGAGAAGCTGTGGAAGATTCCTGAATACATAAGGGGATGGGATGATCAGCTGAAACACCATGTTCCTAGCCAACTCGCTTTCCAAGGTGGTGTGACTACATCTGATCAGCTTCTCTAGAGCTGAGTGCCTAGTCACATTTTCTATTTACTAAGTGCTTTAAAGATACCTGTTGTCATCTGTGATACTCCAAACAGATGTTCAGAATTGAGCTTCTGAAGCTGGCTAAGC